TTCGTATCATATTTTGGCATCACTCCTCCTGTTCATAGCATATATATTAGACTTTTTTTTTCAAGAAGTCGTAAAGTTTGTAAAGTTTTTGATACTAAATATAAGCTTGTGAAGGCAGATTGTGCTAACATAAATCAACGGTTTGTGAATACTCCACCGTTACATGCTGCTTGAGCTCATATGTACGTCGTTACAAAAATGAAGAGTAGAGGTGTTAGTTCTTGATGAGCCAACAACATTTCATCTACTTTTTTTGCAAACACGGCTAACCCTTCCTCCCCCCCCCCACTAAAGACCATCCCCAATTTTCCCAAACATACAAACAATTTAGTATAGTGCGATCCGAAATGAGCACTTTGTCTCCGATCTTTACATTTGTAGAAAAAGATGCCGACTTCAAAGCGATTAACTCTCGAATTTGATACCACTTGAGTATAATCCCAAAAGTAATTGCACACTTTTCAATGGTCAATATCTTTCTTCCCAATGGGTCTTTTTTTGTCAGTCAAGTACTATTCTGTAGAGATGGCTTAAACCTAGATCTACAATATCGATCAAATCACCGATCGCTCTTGTTACTGTAGGATTACGATGAGAACTTCCAGCACATGAAACCATTGTGAAATATACCACTTAACAAGATTTTCTTCAAAAAATCTGATAAATCGTGTACTAGAGTTTTCGTGCACGCTGATTTTACCACACAACATTTTACGAGTGTTTTCAACTTTTTTGACGGTGTAATCACATTTCTGAGAAAAATGAGAATTCGTTATTACGGTTTAAATGAGATAATTTTGAAAGAAGTTCACAGTAAAGTGGAAATTTCACATTGGAAATCTGCGACTTCCGTTACCATAGTATAAAAGGTTTTGGCTTGCTTGGTTTTCTTCCGAGGCAGAATATGGCTTTGTATGGCCTAAAATTCTTGTGGAAGTTCCTACAGTAATCCTGCAGTAATGAAGAGAGGACTGGTGATACGCTCAGGGCTCGGCATAGGTGGCTTACGAGGCAAGCTGGGTATCGCTTTGGAGTAAAAGCAACGGGGACACCGTTAAGGCGGACCCCCTCCCCCTCCACCCACACATCGCCTTCTGTCTTTATGTCACCTATCTTTCTATAGAAGAAAATTGTCATTTCTGCCTTATCGATCTGCAAAAACTAGAAAATTTTCCGTTTCAACATGTTTGCCGGTTAAGCACGCGGATTCAGACCTGTTCCGAAATTTACAAAAGACACGTTTACGGCGAAGAGAAAATGAGATGGAACCAAAATTGGTGTGAGGTGGGCAATAAGGAGTAAGGACTATACGAAGAATTATGAAAAAAAACATGTGAATTGAAGGAGTGGCAAACTTTATAGGGGTTGGGTGGTTTTCCAGCCACCTGGACAGCCACCTCAGGTGCCTGTAAAAAGAAAAAGTCATAAATTTTCCTCCCTTCACATAATTTTTTCACATGTTTGGCATAGCCTTGTTCTACATCGAAATCCCCACAACTGAGTTTTTGAATCTCCCTAAACCCCCTCTTCCTCGCTTAGTCACAACCCTCCAAACATTTTATATGGCCGCGGCAAGCCTGCTCCAAGCGCAAGGGTGCGCGCCGGACACAGCATGCCGCCAATTCGGAGAAGGCAAACATCTTTGGTTTTTTACGTCTGTTCGAAGTTGCTTTTATGTTTTGTTTCATTACTTTTCATTATTCGTTTTGATCCTTTCACGATCGTCATAGGTAATGCCGTATTTTTCTGCAGAAGTCTACAGTTACTTCGTTTTTGAAAAATTAAAAAAAACCACTTCATGCTGAGCCCTGGATACGCTCGATACTCTAAATCTAAGTCGAAGCCTCTTCTACGGAATGGAACTTAAATGGTGGAAAAGACACAATGGGAAGAGAGATATCAACGATTGAAAAGTGTGTGCTTACATTTGGGACACCCTGTATTAAGGTATTAAAGGTATCAAGGTAAAGTTACCAAAATCGAGGGTTAATCGTTTTGCAGTCAATTTTCTTCTACATTTGAAAATTTGAACATCGGAGACAAAGTGCTTTTATAAAGCAGCTTGGACTTTGTGAGTACAACGGTGCTACTGTGTTCAAGATGCTGCGGGAGAGCATGAATTCTGTGTATGACTGTTTAACAAAGCGAAAAATGCTCTGGCCCGAAACGGCAGTAATCGAAAAGTCGGTTTTGTCGTGAATGTGTTAAAAGTACAACTGCGATTTTTTAGACTTCTACAAAGCTAGCTTTCGGAAGAAAATGTGAGTTAGCTCAATTTAGCAAAAGTTGGAAAAGTGAGTAGATTCGATACTTCTCGAAGACTAGGTTTTGTAGCTAACATGTCTGCACCTTGAAGAGCTTGTGGTACACAAGTGATAGTGCGGGAAACTTGTAAGCGTGCTTCTAAATTTTTTTTAGAGAGCTTCTTTGAAAGTCTGTCAGCCCATATTTGCATATTATATAAGACTAGGTGGCTTACCCGGCTCCGCCGTATGTTCCGAATAGAAAATTCCATTTCTTAACCGATTTGGACCAAACTTGGCACACATACACTTCGGGCCCCGTCGGGTGTCACAGTCCACTTTTCGTTATCGATCGATGTCGATTCTATCGATCTTTGCAAAATTTGAGCTAGGGGGCTGGAATTTGGCAGAGGGATGTAATCGAGCATGCTGATCACCCCCACGGGGGTGATTACCCCCCTGTGCCAACTCCCAGCCCCGTAGCTCAAATTTTGCAAAAAATCGATAAAATCGACATCGATCGATAACGAAAAGTAACCTTTGACACCCGCCGGGGCCCGAAGTGTATGTGTGCCAAGTTTGGTCCCGATCGGTTCAGAAATGGAATTTTCCATTCGGAACATACGTACACACAGACATACAGACATACAGACAGACATACAGACAGACAAACAAACATTCAGCTTTATATATAAGACTAGGTCGGTTCAAAAGTTCTTTCAGTTTTTTCAAACTGCCATAAAATAAGGTAGAATAAAGGCAGGCAAATGCTATGGGAACTACCAGACCCAATTTTTCTTCCTTTTTCCACCAGTCATGTTTTGAAACCATTTGCTCCAATGGTTTCTGAGATAATTGAAATTTCGGACCCATTGTTTCAACCATGTCCAATTTTGGCAGTTTTTCACAATCTTCTTGTCTGGCTTTTGAAAAAACTTCAATGGCAATCAGATAGTAAACAAAGTGCAATAATGCAATTTCTTGGGCTCTTTAGCTAGCACTGGAAAATTTTCAAAATTATTTTTCTGATGCTATCGATTTTCACTTTTGGTGATGCTAAGAGCCATAGAACATAAAACGGCGCAGAACTAAGGGAACGGCCATAGGTTGTCGGTGTTGTCGATGTTGTCGATGTTGTCGATGTTGTCGGTGTTGTCGATGTTGTCGGTGTTGTCGGTGCTGTCGGTGTTGTCGGTGTTGTCAGCGTTGTCGGTGTTGTCGGAGTTGTCGGGGTCAAAGACAGTTTGAGCGCGCGAAACGTGGAGGCTATCATGAGGTCCTACAACGACCGGCAACCTCGGCAACCTCGGCAACCCCGATAATACCGACAACACCGGCAACATCGACAACATCGACAACATCGACAACACCGACAACACCGACAACACCGACAACATCGACAACACCGACAACACCGACAACACCGACAACATCGACAACACCAACAACACCGACAACACCGACAACACCGACAACATCGACAACACCAACAACCTATGGCCGTTCCCTAAGGTGTCATTCGAAAACAGCTTTCCCTCCTCTTTCTGAGGGGCTTTTTATCTTTTCAATTCGTGGAGTCTTCGGCGATAAAATTATCGTAATTTATTTTTTTGAACCGCCCCAGGCAAGTCCGCAAATTGTCAAGTTTGATATTTTGAAACGGCAGACGCTCTAGTGCTTTGTAAAGTTAGTGTATAACCATAATCAAACTTTGCAGGTATTAAATTCGACGATCTGTTGGAATTTGGAGCCTTTGTGTATTTTGCGACTTTGCAAAATCAAAGACTGTGGAAAAGTTATCCCAAAAAAATACTAACAAGGGAATGGTCAAAAATCAAAGTGGTCAATCCAGACAAGCAGCACACCATTAGATACAGCATAAAGCGCTGACTCTAAATCTGTCTTCCTTATCTGCTTATCGCTTTCCTGGACGAGTACAAGCCATTAAAGGCCTTCATTTTGCTAAGAAATTATGCGTGGCGTGAAAATGAAAATTTAGCCGTACAGTGCAACAACTGGATTAATGCTCAACCAAAACATGCAGCTGAATCACTTTAAATTCTTAAAGCCTGAAGCTGAGCTAAAAGTAAAACAATGTGCTCAATTTTGCTGTTATTATGTATAATTTTTTCACAGCAAAACCGCTTGTAGCTTCGTTCACAGAAGCGATAAACAGATAATGAAGACAGATTCGAAGTCAGCGTTTTATACTGCATCGAATGATACACAGCTTGTTTGGTTTTGCCACTTCGACTTTTGACCATTTCCTTGTAAGAAGCTGTTTGAAGATTCAAGAAAATTGCATTGCTTTGCAATTTGTTTACGCTATCTAACTGCCTTTATAGCTTTTCCGAATGTTCACAATAAAGATTTTGAAAAATTGCCAAAGTTGGGCATGATAAGAATCATGGGTTTGAAATTTTGGCGATTATCTCAGAAACCACTGGAGCAAATGGTCCCAAAACATGACTGGTGCAAAGAGGAGAAAAACTGCGTTTGATAGTCCTTAAAACATTTGTCTGCCTTTATTCCACCTGATTTTATGGCAGCATGAAAAACGGAAAGAACTTTTGAACCTGCCTAATATTTGCAAGAAAGGTAGAATCTCTCATCGCGTGTAGAAATACTAAATCACGCAATCAACTTTCTGGTCAAAATCCTCCTTTTTCATTGTTTTGCCATAATGTCTGAGAATAGCTTTCAGGTTCCAAAGTTTGTGCCTACCTGTTACCTGAGCTTTGTGGTGATAACTAAAGGATGTACACCAAACTTCTCAAATTATTCGGATATATGATTATATTATGTGAGTTGATTTTCAATTTAAAAATTTCCTCAGTAAGTGTACGATGACACTAAAGGCAAGGAGTAAAACGCTGATCTGCTTTTGAGTGACGAAAAAAAGCTTTGAAATGTTCCTAGGAGATTCAAAAATTCACGTCCGAAAACGAGCAAAACAAAAAATAAGTAGACGCTATTCGCTTGCCGAGAAATTGTCAAAACTAACTGCCTCACAAGAAAATCTCAGCGCGCAAATGTGCCAAAAAATCTTGGTATCACAATGCTTATTATAAAGAAACTTGGAAATTGCAAGACAGCCTCCATCTCTACTTAGTGATCAGCATTGTGTCGATGAAGAAAGTTTACAAGATGTTTGAGAAGTTTATGGTCTCAGATGCTTCTATCGCGAGTTCTGACTGATTTTTTCCATTGTTCGTTAAACCTAAAGATTACCAAATCAACAAAGAAAAAAATTTTTTTGTTTCATAATAGTTCGAAAAAATTGCAGGTGAGCAATTTTTTCAGCATCCTTAGAGGAGCGGAAAAGTGTATAATTTATTTTGCAGATTAGACCTCCTCTGCAGACTTTGACGAAAGCAGTTTCGCTAAAACCTCGGTCGTGAAAGTGTCGCTGAGTAAATAAAGGTGGAATAGGTTCCTCGCTTGCTTATAAAAATTTGTGTCAATCACGGAAACTTGATGTCTCTAAAGCGTCTGTTAGAATTGGAGTAAAATTCCATGCTCTTTTGAAAGGTCAAGAGCTGTCATGAGCCTGATTTGAACTCAAGAAAGCCACAATGCCGGCAGACCGAGAGCATGAAGCGCATTCGTGAAAATGTTTTCGCTGCACTCAATGTTTAACACGAGCTTACGCTGCGGCTACATCCCCTTTATAAACTTAGGGCCGCATGCATTAACATCCCCTTCCCCTCCCGGGAGGAAATCGCAGCTTTAGAAGAAAGCTTTATATCCTGAAGCTCCAGACATCTGGATTTCACGCTGTCTATCTATCCGTAAGTACTCCGAACATCCTTCACCATGAACATTTTGAACGGAAGCAAAAAGCTGTACAAACCGTATTTTCCCGCTTTTTGTTCGATCCCCCAATGATCCCCCGCGGCCAAATGTCATTTCTTTAGAATCATTTTTCTTCCTGCGAAGTTAACGAAAACCTTCCAAACTAAACTCCTAAAATGTGTACATTAGTGACCAAAACGTTTTTTCCTTTACTGGTGCTTGAAAGTAGAAAAAAGTTTTTGTTGCGAAGACCTCCTATACGCGTGGTGAAACCTTCAGTCAGATGAAATTTTATTGTTAGATTTAGCGTACGACACATTACAATGGAAAAAAGTCTAGCTGAAGGTGGCAATCGTATTCGAATAAGAAGCGCTGGTTCTCGTGCGAAAAACGCCCGTAGCTCCCCACCCACAGGTGTTCTGCAGCTAGCAAGGGTGGTTTCGGAAATGTCCTTCCAAGTAACGTGTCACGCAACCCATCCCATCTCAAACGGCCACTGCGATTTGTGCCATTTCTCTGATTAGTGAAAGGTTTGGAACCAGAGTCAAGCGTGGGGTGTGGCATGCCCATACCTGGGCTCGTATTGAGGGGTCTAAGGCTAAAAGCTCAAATTACTTTTGTGAAAATTACGAGGTTTAGGCTATCAAATATATTAGTTCTTCGCTTTCCCTCGCGCTTCACCTACTAACGCAGACGTAGCATGCAACCATAAGCTGATATTTCAGTTTTTTCATTTGCATAGGTAAAGAAAAAGAACTGTATATTTCCCTAGGAGAAGCGGTTTTGAAAGAAAATGGACGAATTCTGAATATGAGGACACAGTTGATTCAGCTCGGCAAGACGCATCATCCGGTATGTAGAAGTGCCACAATCTATTGGGGTGCGTTAGGTATACGTAAGGCAGTAAATTTTCACTCGTTTTTGCAGCTTTTTGTCGGATTATTCAATGTGCTGACAACAACACCGCTATTAATTTGCTTCTGATGGCACATCGTACAAATACTGTTGGAGTACGGTAGAGAGTCACTTGAAATTTTTATCCATTTGTTCTAACAATAAGTTCAGCTCGGAATCAGCTAGGTGTTTCTGATGCCGGTAATTATATTCATCTGATGCTCAAGACACAGCAGGAAGTCGATGTAATGTCATTTTAGTTGTGTTCGAAACGTTGCTTATGGTTGCTTCCAGGTGCTGCTAGTTCTAATCAAAAGGTCGCATGTCACACTGGCGACTTAAACGAAATAGTATTATCAAATGCGTTTTGATAAGCTGATTCCTAGTCTAATTTCCTTGACTGCTAAACGGCTCTCTAGTAGAAGTTATGGATGTCTCCGAATCTCGCAAACAATCAGTGTCAACAATCAAGAATTAGCGGTACAAATACCCTTCACTACGTTAGCAGAGTTTTTGCTCTTACAAGGTAAGGATACTAACTTAGATTCGCCTTTTGAGAGTACCACAACATCAAGCCTTGGTCTTTTGAATTGGTCTTCAAAGTAAAATAAGCAAATGTAAAACCTCACTGACTCCATACTTTCAACCGCTCATAACTGCAGAGCACGTGTTTTCATCAAAGCATATAACGCATTGCACGTAATAGGCTTTGATTGCTATTTTTCAGTAGAGCTGTGTCCACACAACATCCTAGATAGGGAATCTGTTAGAAGCTTTTCTTCAAACCAAGAGAAATAGTGGTGAATTTCGGCGATACACAGGATTTAGGGACCGTACATCAATCTACCGTACAATAGTACCTTAAAAAACAAATTTTGCGATGGTACCGTAATCTGCATGCTATCTTTCCCACCTAAACTGAGTTTCGCATTAATCTGAGGCCTTCACTTACGTTCTGCCGACGGTTTTATTAAGTTCGCATCGCAACTTAACGCTTTCTGTAGATGGTGGACTCCCGTACGCGATAGAGAAGCTTCCTAGTTTGTAGTTGTGAATGAATAATACAGAATGTTCTTTGCTGTGAGGGAGTAAATGGCTAGAATTTTGGAGAAATCCATGTCATCTATAAACAGCTCACCGTAGCCCTACAGAGAGAATTTATCTTGCAGATCAGATGTGATCTTCATAATCAGCAGATCGAATTTGATTTTGTCTCGTTCTCACTCTTGAGCTTGCCGCAGATTTTGGCTGAAATGATCATGATTCGACCTGAAACTTCGCTCACAAAGGTTCTAGGACCCACTGTTTGCGACAACCTAGTTATCCTGCACGAAGGGTTCTACTGTAAAGTTACGGTAAGCCGGATATAGCTAATTCGGGCATGCTCGCAAGTTAGTCTGCACTTTTCGCCCATCTGCTGACGGACTTGCCTGCGCATTATTGCAGGTTAGAGTCTCTGTAAACAGTACAGTAGGACTATGCTTTACTTATACCCTTATATGCACTATTTTCTAAGTTATGAGCTTACGAATTGACGTTCTTATAAATTGTGTCCCATCTAAAAATGGCGTATTTTGGCGAGAAGTGTCACAAGTGCGTAACACGCTGGTTACAGTCACGAAATTTATTCCGCACGTGAGAGCTTGGCAGATTTTGCCAAAACACGCAAAAATAAATTTATTCCGGAACTTACCATTCTTTCTCTTAGTTTGAAGAAAAGCCATTAACTGATTCTCTATCTAGGATGTTGCGTGGACACAACAAAAATAAAAAAATAAAAAAAAATAAAACTCTCATTAGTGCAATGTGTATTAGTGCAAAGCTTATTAGTGCAATGTGCGATATGCTATGATAAGACCACGTGCTCATGAAACTATTAGGTCGTTCCGAAAGTAACGTCGCTTTTTCCAAACGGGCACCACATGTGATAGAACAAAGGTTTCTAAGAGATCTTGGAAGCATTCGATGCAGAATTCAATTCTCTTTCTAATGGTTATGAAACTGTTGCAGAACAATCAATTAGCTTTCAGAAAATGACCAAAATCTGCGACATATGCTTTTTGAGATGGTCAAGTTTCACGATTTTTTGAAACTTTCATATCAATCCTCAGAAGGAGTTCAAGTAACGATTCGATAGAGTAAACCTTATAGAATACAGCACTACTTTTTTCTCTCCCTTGCAGCTCGCTGTAATATTTTTTTAGATTTTCTAACAGAACTATCGGATTTTGGCAGGCCCACCTCAGCCACAATCGCATCAAACATCATAAATTTTTCGGAATTTGAAACTACCAAGATGGTGCTATGAGTTAGCATTAATTTCACAAAGCAAGTGAGGGTTTACGGGTTCGAAATATCAAATTTCGAGTTTTTCGGGTACAGCCTGGGGCTCGCTAGAAAAATGAGTTACGATGATTTTATCCCCGGAAACTAAATGAATCGGAAACAAAAAACACCCATTAGAAAGAGGAAAAAAAGCTGCATCGAATGACACCCGAGCTGCTCACCGTTTGATGTTCTACGAGGATTTAGCTGCTCAAGTATGAAAATCGGTAGCATCAGTTAAAATTCTGTCAAAATTGTATGACAAGCTAAGGAAAGGAGAAAAAAGAAGTGCTGTATTCTATAAGGTTTACTCTATCGAATCGTTACTTGAACTCCTTCTGAGGATTGATATGAAAGTTTCAAAAAATCGTGAAACTTGACCATCTCAAAAAGCATAGGTCGCAGATTTTGGTTATTTTCTGAAAACCCATTGACTGCTTTGCAACATTTTTATAATCATTAGAAAGAGAATTAAATTCTGCATCAAATGCCTCCAAGATCTTTTAGGAACCTTTGTTACATCACATGTGGTGCCCGTTTGAAAAAAGCGACATTACTTTCGGAACGACCTAATATTATACTTATTATACACAGCTAAATCAAGTAAGCGTTAAATAACGATGTCAACTGTACTCTACAGCATGACGTCATAATGAATATTAGCTACTGTGGAACAGGAAATGTGCTCGAGATCACCTGCCGATTTGGTAAAATGCATATCGTTAAAGCGTCTTGATAAGGATATCTGAATTCCCCAGCTGCTGATCGAGTCTCTGGTTGTGAGAAAAG